AGGAAAGGCCATGGAAAGGACAGTTTAAATCCTCTCCCCAAAGGGTTTCACCTCCCAGCAGTGAGTGTGAGGCCTGGTGAGCTGGAGCCTGCCACATTCCAGCCCTTCCTACCTGGCACCTGAGTTACCAGACCAGGATTTTCTAAGGCTTTCTGCCTGTTATTAATATTCAATATTGACACTTCAATACTCTGGGGTGTGAAGGTGGGTTCTCTTGCCTGGGTGGAGGAGCAGGGGGATTCCTGGCCCAACCAACCTGCCTTTCCTTGCCCTGTCACCATGTCAGCTCAGGCATGGGGTGGGCAAGTCAGGTATGTAAAAATATGACAGGGGGCAGGGTTGGATGGGATATTGGGAAGGAATTCTTGGCTGGGAGGGTGGGGAGGCCCTGGCACAGGTTGGGCAGAGAAGCTGTGGCTGCCCCTGGATCCCTGGAAGTGTCCCAGGCCAGGTTGGATGGGGCTTGGAGCAACCTGGGCTGGTGGGAGGTGTCCCTGCCCATGGCAGGGGGTGGCACTGGATGATCTCTAAGGTCCCTTCCCACCCAAACCAGTCTGGGGATGCTGTGCTTCCATATCCAGACACTCCCGTTCCCAAACCCGCCGCTCTGCCCGCGGTTTTTCCGGGGACAGTCAGAGGGTGAAATAAATCCACCCCAGCTGCTCCGTGGGCGTGACCCCCCCGGCAGTGGAACACGTGCACTCTTACCTGGCACTTTGAAGGGCACCACATCCAGCAGCAGACCCTCGTCCTGGGCCTTCTTGGCCAGGGTGTGGGAGCGCAGGGCGTACTCGTCCTGCTCCAGGCGGGACACGCCGAAGGCGGCGGCCAGGCGGTCGGCAGAGTGCCCCATGGTCTCACTGGTGGAGAACTCGGCCACAGCCGGGAGCTGCAGCCAGGGAGGCAGGGTCAGCACGGCTAAAACCACCCCCCGGGCAGCACCCAGAGCTCAGGAGTGGCTTTACTTGCTCCCTGTCAGCTCAGAGCTACGCAAGGAACGCGCGACAACCGGACCAGGAGCGACCGGGTCAAACGCGTCAGAGGAACCACCACTTTCCAAGATTTTAGGGGGAAAATGAGGTCCAGGCTGCTGCTCACTGCTCACTGTGCAGCAGCTGGACGAGCAGAGGGCACAGCTTAACAGGGAATCCACGACAAAAGGGGACCAAGACTTTTTGGGCTCAGCTGAAACAACACACCCTGGGACCTTAAAACTCCTCGTGAGGCACCTCCTCATCCCAAACCAGAGCCAGGAGGGTTTAGTTTTTTGGTTTTTAATTCTTCCAGCAGCACACAGGAAATCCCTAGATGCATCTAAATCTGTGATTTTTGCATCTTGGGTGGATTTGGGATCTCACATTCATGTACTGAGGATATTCCCCTCCAATATTAAGGCGGTTACTTCTGTTATCCAGGAAAATTCTTCTGACCCCAATTCTTCTGATGCTTTAGGACCTTTGAATAAGTTTTATGGATAAAAAACCTTCTCTTTCTGTCATCTTCAGCACAGTTTGTCCAGGAGTTGCAGAAGGAGAGGGAGGTTTTTACACTAAGTTGGGTTTTCTGAAGCTGAACGTGTGAGAAGAAAAAGCAGAGTCCCAAATGCTGTGAGATGCAGTAATCAATTTAACCCAAAGCAGGGGACAGAGAAGGATCACAGTGAGCCTCAGACACCTCACCCTTCTTAAACCCTCTCCACTGAGGCTAAAAAAACTGCCTGAGCCACACCTTGGTTCACACCTTCCCCTAAAACAGTTCAGCTAAATATCTGAACACCCGAAAAAAAAAAAATAGAAGAAATAAAAAATACCTCAGGAGCGAAGTAGTCAGGGCGAATCTTGGAGATCAGGGAGAGCTTCTGGCCCAAGGTCTTGGCCCTGTTCAGGGTCAGCATCGTCTTCCTCATCTTCCTGCTGTGCCGGATGGGAACGTCCGACATGAGCTCCACCCCTCCGGCCACCACCACGTCGCACTGTCCGGCCGCGATCAGCCCCACGCCTGTGGGACGAGAGGGATTCCTGGGAGAGCTGCAGGGAGCAGGGACCCTCACCCC